GATTTTTTGAATACTATTAACTCAAATTATCAGTTTCATAATATTGTATCACAAGACGTCCCTCAATAACGACGTTTATAGTTAAATTTATATCATGATAATTATTAATTATTTGCTTTTCAAACAATTCATTTTACACCTCGTTTTGTATTTTTTTTTTTATAATATATAATCATTACTACTTTTAAAGCCAATAGCTATCAAAATATTGTTTAATAGATCTTTTTTTCTTTGATGTTCAAACAAGTTCACTGAATTATTATTATTATTATCATTATTGGCACTTGCAGCCAGTGGTTTCCACCAAATCTTTGTCTGATTTCGCTAATAATATATTGCTCTCGGAAGAAAATGAGAGAAGATAACGGAAATAATACATTAATATTATATTATTATTATTATTACAATTTGCGTTTGTGTGCTTATGTGCTTTTGATTATTTGGCTCGTTGCGTTTGAAATATCAGAAAGATATCTCATGTATATAATACTGTGTGTGTAGTAACTTGTACTATAGAGAGTCTACACCCATACATGTATTATAATCCAGTGACTTTAGAATTAATTAAATTTAATAATCATATTAAAGTGATAACTTATAACGATAGCAATGTTATAGGTGAGCATCGAAAGCACCCAATTAAAATCGTAACCAATACTACACCGAGGGATCATGATTACTTGTATAATATTATTATTCACTGTAGCCGGGATAAGTAGGTACGTTATTATTGTTCAACCGGTTGTTTCTCGTCACTATCGATCCACACAGACGGACAATTATTATTGTAAGACATACAGTCGTAATCGTATTGTTTGGTAGTTTAATTTCTAATTAAATTTAACATCAAGAGTTATCCGCCGTCGATTAAAATATTGAAAATTTTATAATTTAATTTTATAACGCGTTTAAACGGTTTCACTTAATGCTTCCAACACGACGGATAGAGGAGTGTGGTATTATAACTACTATAACTCTCGTTTTACGTGCTCGGAAACAAAAAAAAAAAGCTATGATGGGAACCTCACGCATTATAAACTACTGTAAGGACGAGTCGTCGTGATATTATTTTATCGATCGTATAGTGTTTCTATAAATTATAATCGAAGCTGTTTACGGGCTCGAAAATATGTATTACAAAAAAAAAAAAAAAAACAATAACAAACGTCTATAGTCAACCGTTCAAATAGAAATCTGTTGTCGTAAGACAATGAGCTTGGAATTATTTTTGCATTCTCCGTGCAATTCTATAATTACTTACACGCGGCGGCGGCGTATATGTGTATATGTAAATTGCATTCCTATTATGACGGTCGCGTTTTCTCTCATTTCACATGCATCTTCTAACAACGTTACTTGTGTTTTTTACGTTCATTCTTTTTTTACTGAAAAAAAAAAGTAATAATAATAACAAACCAAAAATATATTATTATTTATTACATCCAACTGCTATTCATATTCAAGCGACGCGCTTAGATGCTTTTCGTCGATATAATAATTTATATAAGTCCTCTCGGGCGATGTGTACACCACCGAGCCAACTCGTACGCTCAGATATTATAGATGTCGATGGGAGGTGTTCGAGAGTGTGCAATACTTTAAGTTCGATTTGTGATTAGAATAATAAATAATAATATTGTGACACCGAGGTTGTACAATATCGTTATCGTAACTTACCCCCTCCTCCTACGACGAAAAACCATGACCGAATATGATTGGTTATTATGTACCTACGCCTATGACATTATAGGTATATAATATACATACATGTACGGTTGTTGTTATTACAACGATATCCACCACACTCTAATATTTTATTATATTATTTTGCATTATACATAGTTGGCATCAGCGTAATAATAAAAATAATTATACAATAATAATCAGTAGTGGTAGATAAAGTAGTGGTGTAAAGATAATAATATACGATGCCGGCCTGACCCAAAATAAAAAAAAATCAGTGCTAATGTAGATACCTACTTACACCTACCTTATATACAGGGTTGTTCAACATGTATACCCACCCCCACCCATCATTTTCTCTTTAATTATTAATTAATTCAAATAACCTATGATTTTTGGAAATTTTAATTATACTTCTGGAACATAATATTTTTAATTATTGGGATTCTTCTAAACAGTTAACTTAAGGAGTATAATGTGGTGATACAAATTAATTATTTTCAAATGAACACCAAGCTGTTACAACCTGTTACCGTACTGATAAACGGAAATTTTTTGTTGACATTTGTTGAAGTAGATATAAACTACCTATGAGTTTTGTTGCATGTATTGAAAAGTGATTTTAAATTAAAGTACTTGAAAATGGCTTTAGAAAAATATAAAATTATTGTAACATCGAATCTAGTGTATTTATTATACTCGGACAATTTTAATAAATTAAAATTTTTGATACTTAATATAAATCTCAATAATTTTCAAATGGTCATTAAAGTTCCCATATTTTCCAAAAGTATTATCCTTAGTAAGTAGAAGGTACGCATAGTTAAATAAATCAAATACTATTTGTTATACTAATCAAAAAAGTCTTATAATAGCTTACAACGATTTAGAGGAAAATAAAGGTGAATCTCATTTGGAAAATAGTGGTTGTTGTCCTACAGAACGCTCCTTAAATAGTATATAAAATATCTACATACACATTTGAAAATCTGGTATAGGTACATTTACAAATTCCTAAAATCAGAATTTAAACTAAATCATTATTAATGAAAACAATGGTAGCGAGGATGCTCGGCACTGACATTTTAGATAATTCTTATATTATAATACTATATATATTATATTAGAGTATTGTTGCATTTTATTGTTATTTAAAAGACGATATTATTCATTAATGTTAAAACGTAAACAATTTTGTTCGACAGTTATCATTTTTATTATTATTATTCCCTCAATTTTTTTTTTTTGGATGTCAACCGCGAACAATCGATGTTTAATTATTAACTCTCGGGCCGTTTACGTGATTCGGGTCGTTAAATGAAGCGCGTACTGCGCATACAATATGTCCTACCACAGTGGAGCATTATTATTGTGCAATGAATTGGAAATCCAGTTATTATTATTTGACTGCAATTTGTTGTGATCAAATTATTTTTTTTAATTTTATGTTCTATTCTATTATTACAGAAATAAATTTTTCGAAATTCTAGTTGTTTGTTTGACAGTAACTGTTGAACTTTTAACGTTTTCATTATTTTTTATCGAACAATATATTAATAGATTGATCAATAATTGATGATTAGTAGTCAAAAATTTAGTAGACCATTGTAAATCGGCAAAGTAAAATGATATGCATTATGCAAATTGAAAAAATAAGCACGCGCTCGTATCTCCAAAACGTACTGTTAAGTTGTCCTGAGAAATGTTTTAATTTATTAATCCTTTTTCAACAAGTTCTTATTTTCGGATACAGTAAATCCAATTTTGGCGTTTGATCCGAACACATGTTTTATATTTAAAAAAAAATTTTAAAAAAAAATCAATAATGAATAATAATATATAATTATGTATACAAAAAAAATAAACCCGAACAACTTTCTAATAAGAATATAGAATTACATTGTATAAATACCTATAACGGTATCGTGTATAATTTTCTTCAAAGTTCAGTATCGTCAGTAAAATCGTGTACCTATATGACTTGCTCATTCTACGCGTTTCAACAACACGCATGTGAGACGGCTAAGCACACGTACGTAATTGTTTACTTACCGTGTAAACGATTTAGAAATCATGTGAATTCGACATAATACATTATGAACACGGGTGCTCAACATTGTTGGATACTATTTAAGGCGAGGCGCTATGTATGCGGTTGTTCAAATGAGATTATTGGCTGATTTGCTATTATTCCGTCACGATTAGTACGAAAAATAAAATCACCTAAAGCTAATTTAAAATATTTTTATGGACATCAACAGAAGATTACTTGGAAATAATAATACATCATATTAAAATATATTATTATTATTTCCAACAATAGTGTAATTTCTTCTTTTCGCGTTTACTTTTTTTACTTGTGAGACGTGACTTGCGTAAATTCGAATTGTTAAACCAACACTATGAACCGCAGTCTTACGATTTTGGTATTTTTTTTAAATAGGTTAACCTATTATAGGTATTTCGTCACAAGACACCTCTGCCGTCGTAATCAGAGGAGATGTGCTCGGCGTGTCAACTCACACTGATATTCAATTTTAATAAAAACTAGAGTTTTCACCGTTATGTGAGGACGCCCCGTGGGATTTTAATTGTTTAACGAGTTCCCAGCATACATTATTATTATATATAGATACATATAGTATTAATATATGTATTTTTTTCAATGTTTACTTTTATTTGAAACGGTTTCTCAGTTTACACAAACCTATTGTTTTCAAAATGATTCAAATTTCAGTTTCACTAGTAATTGTCCATCATAAACTATAGTACCTAAATAATGCGTTTATAGCCATTATAACCAGCACTTACTGACTAGTCGACGTATCACAGGAAATAATTTTTGTCCGAATAGTAACACTAAACCGTTAACGAAATCTGCACTGAAAGTTAGAACCTATTGCAGTTATATATACTTGCGTTTATACACTTATATTATATATTTATATGGTTTTGTTGTAAAATGCGTCTTAAACGAATGGGGAAAGTTTGAATGAATCGTACAACACATCATTACTAAGCACTACACTTGATTATAGTCGGTAATCTGTATGCTGTTCTTCGTCTGTCGAAACAATGTATTTCTAATGTTGTGTGTCATTGTCAGCAGTAAATCTTGACATCATGGTATATTTTTTTAACCCGAATTATTACTTAATGAGCAAAAGGAAAGTCTATTAAACGCAGTTGCGGAACATCCCATTTAGTTATGTTTTCTTGTTATAATTGAACGAATCGTGTTAAAAATGAAAAATATATTTGAAAAATAAATAGCATTTTTACAGCTTTGTACTTATACTATAACGTACTTGTTTCAGAAGAGTTGTGTGTGTCTATTGCTGATAGCTACTACAAATGCCGTGATCAATTCCGGCGCAAATGATGAGAAGTCGCCGACAAGAAGAGATGCAAGTCTTGGGGTACCATCAGATTCTTACGGTGCACCACCTCCTTCATTTGGTCCTATTCAGATCAACTACGGACCACCACAGGCTTATATTGCATCTGATTTAAAAGCACCTGACGCTAATTATGGACTTCCGTCGAACTCTTATGGTCCACCAAAACCAACTTATGGACTTCCAAAACCCAGTTATAAGCCTCTAAAGCCAGATTATGGACCACCTCCCCAGGATTCATACGGGTTGCCACCAAAACCAGAATATGGAGTTCCTCAAACACCGAACTCTGTGTACGGCCCGCCGTCTGGACCTCCTAGTCCTTCTTACGGTGTTCCATCAGTGTCTTATGCAAAGGGGCCTCCAGGTGTACCATCCCCGCCAACACCACCTCATATATCTTACCACGGCTGGCAACCAATTCCGGGTGTATCAATTCCATATATCCAGAAAAACAACGGTTACGAACAATCATCGTTAGGCACTGCTTATGGACCACCACTGTCTCAAGGAGGAGGTTGTTGCAATAATAATATTAACTCCATAGATACTTCTTATGGAGGTTCACCTCCACCAGTATTACCATCTTACAATCAAAAGTCTCCGAACTCTGATTACGGTCCACCGAAAGATGGAAATTCTTATCATGGTAGCTCTCACGCTCAGTCATTGACCAGTTTATATAAACCACCACCAATTATACCAGATACCAGTTATGGGCCTCCAACACCTTCTAAACAACCTTCTGACTCATATGGTCCACCTAAACCTGACTACAGTTCACTACCTAATGATTCACATGGACCACCACCAAGTGGATCATATGGACCACCTCCAAAAGATTCTTATGGGCCACCCCCAAAAGATTCGTATGGACCACCACCTAGTGGATCATACGGACCTCCTCCAAAAGATTCATATGGTCCACCACCAAGTGGATCATATGGACCACCTCCAAAAGATTCTTATGGGCCACCACCTAGTGGTTCATATGGTTCACCACCTAAAGAATCACATGGACCCCCGCCAAGCGGATCTTATGGACCCCCTCCAAAAGATTCGTATGGACCACCACCTAGTGGATCATACGGACCACCACCAACTGGATCATATGGACCACCTCCAAAAGATTCTTATGGGCCACCACCTAGTGGTTCATATGGCCCACCACCTAAAGAATCACACGGTCCACCATCGAGTGGATCATATGGACCACCTCCAACTGGATCATATGGACCACCTCCAAAAGATTCTTATGGGCCACCACCTAGTGGTTCATATGGCCCACCACCTAAAGAATCACACGGTCCACCATCGAGTGGATCATATGGACCACCTCCAACTGGATCATATGGACCACCTCCAAAAGATTCTTATGGGCCACCACCTAGTGGCTCATATGGACCACCTCCAAAAAGTTCGTACGGTCCACCTCCAAGTGGATCTTACGGATCACCACATAAACCTTCATACCGACCACCTACAAAAGAATCACATGGACCACCCTCAAGTGGATCATATGGGCCACCTCCAACTGGATCTTATGGACCACCTCCAAAAGATTCTTATGGACCACCACCAAGTGGTTCTTATGGTGCACCTTCTAAAGAATCACACAGACCTACACTAAGTGGTTCGTTTGGTCCACCGAAAGATTCTTACGGGCTACCATCAATTGGATCATTTTGGCCACCTAAAGATTCGTATGGACCACCTAAAGAATCATATGGGTCACCATCAATTGGATCATTTGGGCCACCTAAGGAGTCCTATGGCTCACCATCTAAGTCAGAATATCCTTCCAAGAATTCATATGGATCTCTCTCAGGTGGATCGTATAGTTCAGTACCTAGTGGCTCATATGGAACACCATCTAAACCGGTATATCATCCACCACCGCCAAAAGATTCGTACGGAGCACCTCCAAGTGAATCATATGGTACTCCATCTAAAGATTCTTATGGAATTCCTGCCCTTGGTTTTATTGATAATTCATTGCAAATACAATATGGCTCACCGTCAGGATCTTCATACAATGGTCTTCCTCCAGAAGGTACTTTCGGTACACCTATAGCTATCTGTTGTGGTACACCTCCACCAGATTTACCGTCACAAAAGCCTTCAGACTCTCAATATGGGTTAACTTATGGACAAGCATCTGGAAGACAAATACCTGGTCCAAACCTTCAACCAAAAAATCCAGTAAAAAATAGGGCACCAGTTCCACCGGGCCTTGTAGAATCAACACAATATAATAGTTTCCAAGGTGAACCATACATACCTCCTCCAGTATCAGAAGTATCAACGGGTGGAAACGATGCATATGCTGCTCCGTCAAGTTCAACAGGTTACAGTAGTTCTAACAATAGCCCTGACTTAGAGCAAAGTCCAATAGTTCCTCAAGATCAACAACAGTATAACATCCAAGCTACACAAGATACACCAAATAATGGAGTATACAATCAAGGTTTATCTACATCGTATGCTATACCGGCTCCCGAATCTTATCAGCATATAACACAAACAGTTTCAGTAAATAGTGCAGCTCAAGAACCTAACAATTATGTTCAGCCAAATCAACTTTTAACATCAAATGTTGATAACTATGGAGCTCCGCAGCAGTCGTTTGATTTAAATCAACAAATTGAAGAAAGCAAAAATAACCCACAACTGAGAGACACAGAAAATAATTCACAGCAACCAGAAAATAATAATTATCAACATCAACCAGATGGAGTGGATGTTAACGATATAGTCAAGTCATTAGGTTTAGAAGGATCTTCCGTTGTTGGTTCAAAATCTGTTGACATAAATGGCTTACAAGAGTATCCTGTTCAAGGCTCTACTGGTAACTACATGCTTCAAATCCAACCAGGACAAAGAGGTAGTGAAAACATAGCTCATGATCAAGTACTTTCTAATGGGTTACTTCAAGACATTTTGTCAGCCATAGAGAATCAACAGAAATCAGATAATTCATACGATAATCAACCACAAGGGTCGGAAGTAAGACAAGTCGCGACGTCAGCATCTAATTCAAGTACCGAGTGGCCAGAAAATTCTGCAAGTAAAAAACAGGAAATGGCTTTGTTCTATAGCACGAGAGATGGAAAAGGACAGTCTACGCAAGGCAAGGAATCTCTTCTCGATGAAATAAACCATTTGAGCGTGAACGAGGTGTCGAATGGAAACTTTGTTTCATACAAGTCACCAAAAGTAAATTATGTGTATAGTGAATCAACACCTCAAGCTGTATCACAAGAATATCCACAACAATCGACTCCTAAGACTGATGAAAGCTCAACCAACTCGTTGTCGAGTACAGGAAAATAATTATTGTAGCATAATAGATCTATATAATACATAATTAGGTATTTATATATAGTTTAAAAGTAATCCTACTATTATATTTGACAGTTCTAACTCCCCAACCTTTGGTTGCATTCAAATTGACAACGGTAATAACGCGTAAGAAAGTGCTCGCATCCATTTGAATTGTCATTTAAACGGAATATAGTATCGCATAAAAGTATTGTACTTGTATCATTACGAGCCATTCACGTACGAAAACGTTCTATAATAATTGTCTAAATACTTTATTATCTTGACAGGGTAATCGCTCTATTATTAATTTATATTGACGACGTAGTTACCAAGCACAGATTCTTTCACGACTAGCTTATCACGAACTCGAAATAAAAAACATCGTGCCTCATTTTGTTTTAAATCGTGAATGAAGAATATTTTAATCTAAAAAGTGAGAGTAAGCTTGTGAGTGTAAGGTACGACAGATATAAATGCGAACTGTAACACAATACAAATATTACAGAAAGCCATTTTGGATATGAAAAATATTCACGAGATAACTTGAATGCAACTGGATGTATATTTTTGATAATAAATTAAATACAATCATCGCTTTGATTATCAAAAATGTTGGAGTGTTAAATTATTAATATATATAAATGTATTTATATTATGATATAGAGTTTAGCACGATTGCCACTACGAAGTGCCATAGACCATTCATTATTAAAATTATTATAATAATATTCTTAAAATGTAAAAATTAAATTAAATTAATTTTTAATTATTTCTAACATTATTTTTGGTATGTATATTACTTGGAATATTCAAAATCATTTACCTTTTTATTATATACTTTTACACAGAAACAATATATTTCAATTAAAAATCATTAATTGTATTCTCTACTTTAAGGATTCTATAATAAGTTTATGCTTTGTATTTGCATTATAGTTTATATTAATTGTTAGTTATCTATTGAAATATTGTATATAAAATTATGTATGAAAATGTAAACTATTAAATAACAATACATGTTGTGCTATTTATATTTATTTCGTCTTCAGTGTTGAATCAAAGTTGTTTGTATACCCAGTCAAGTCAAACAAAAAAAGTAACCTAGAACTGAATAATGTAACATAATGATGACAATTATTCAATGCCAATTATTATTAATTCACGATTTTAATTAATACTGATCGACAGTAGTTTATTTATAAATTGAATTGTACAGGTACATTCAACATAATGAATCTACGTTAATCGGGTAGGTGATCGTGATTCACAGAACAATATATAAAATGTTTAATTATATTGATATGGCATATTGACAAGACGTAACAATTTATTTATCACTGTATATAATTGTTATATTAATAATATAATATAGGTTCCATAATGTTATGATCTCATCGAGAATCATTTAAATAATTTTTTTTTACAGCTTCATTTAAAATTATTTTTTTTATACTATAAACGTTTTCTCGATTTAACGACACAAATTACTGAACTTTGACATTTTTATAATAATTATATTACAACGGGTTTTCAACAAGTATTTCAATTGGAACAACAAACCAATAATTGAAACCATAAAAAAAAAATCAACTGCACATACAACATAAAGGCTTGTGGTGCATATATTTTGAATGCCTCAAAGGTAAATTATTTATTAATTAAAATGCATGTATTTTAATCGGTAATTTTTAAATAACTTAATTTTTGGTATATTTGTAAAAATAATTGTATTTATATTAATGTGTTGGTAAAAAATTTCTTTTTCTAAGCATATATATATTTATACTATATTTAAACATGAATAATTTACGAAAATATTTTACAGGATGTCAGTATATTATTAGAAATATGCAAATACTCTAGAATGTTTAATAGTTACCATAATTTTCCTTTTTCGGAATAGCCCTCGGGTACTAATATCACAGAGAATTTTGGTCCTTGACTATTAATATTCGAGAATATAATATGACTATAGGGAGTAAAAATAACTGAGAGTTATTATTCCCAGTTACAAATTGCCTTACCTAATGCTCCCCTTAGTATAAATTATTTATGCTAATTGTACTCTAGGGATAAAATTTGAACATTTACTTTAGTATTATTGATTTGTTAATTTGATGTTTAAAAACATTTTAAAAAAAAACTTAACTTTAGGGTAAGAAATGTTAATTATTTTGAAACGTGTGTTCGATTTTGTAATTTTATGAGTTGTATTTTGGGGGTTATTATTTTGAAACAATCGTATTGTGTCATAGTAAATAACCTTTAAATGTTAATTTTAAGTCGAATGTTTTATAAATTTCGGGTTTAGGTTAAACTTTGTATTTAAAAAAAAAAAACAATTTTAATTGTTGGTATTGTGAGCCATTATTAATACAACTTTGTTCATCAAAGAAATTCTTATGTATTAGTACCTATAATATGTATTCATAAAAAAATATTAGTAACTCTCGAGAAATTAATACATTTTACTATTATTTTGTTTTAAGTTTCGACATTATACCTACCAACTTTGTACAATTACACATTGTCGAATATAACAAATGTAATTATCTACTATATGACTATTCGAGTTCTATCAATTCTACATTAGGATAAATAACACAGACATAATACTCAAAATTCATTGTCAATATTTTAGGGCCAGACCACCAAATTATATGAAGAAAATATTGCAATAACTCCGGAATTCCTATTGTACACGAGTTTAACGTAACAATTAAAGATTTAAAAAACATTTTTAATAATGTATGTTTGGTGATTTTGAAAAGACAACAATTTATTGATTTCTACATTATAATATTACCGTTCATATGCATAGATTGAATAATTTAGTTTATTAAATAGATAATAAAATCATTCGATAGTATCATTTGAAAGTAATAAAATATTTAAAATTAATATTTTCATGCACTAAGTACCCATATATTTTACTTTAAGCATACCTATATAATATTAATTATATCTTTGAGTGACTTTATTTTTAGAAACTGATACTATACACACAGGTACGGGATGTTTTAAGTAATTACAATTTTAAACACTTACAATTAAGTGTTTAGATAAAATGTTTAGGATAAAAATAATATCAGCCACAGTGAAACTCTGTAATTATTCAGAAAATAGATGAGTATTATCCAGTTATACAAGATCTTCAAATGAGTAAAGTAAAAATTTTATTTCTATACTATTAAATAATTCGCCTATACATATCATATATCATCGATATAAAATAAAAACATTTTTTAAACAAATAAGGCGATAATACTTTTTTTAATTAAAAGTGTTTGATCAAATAGTGTTTTGGTATTTAGAGTTTCCATGTAGGACCTTTTATGTTTAAAGTTCAATATTAGTTTTATAATTATGAATTATTGTGGCTCATCGTTTATTATGCTTTCGTTGTGAAAGAAGTTTTTAAAATTGCCTTGGCCACCAATTCGTTATCAAAAAAATAATATCGATGAAACCTAAAATAAAAATGCAAATTCATCGTTTTTATCGATGTCTTAAATAATTGTTTAGTTCTTTATATTTATGTTTTTGTTTGTTTTAATTTGTTTTTTTTACCTTATACGTAATGGCAAATTAACTGCTGTATAGTATTTAATGTATAATATTGTATAATATAACGACGCGTCGGGACGTGGCAAACTACTACAACACTTTTAATTAACTTTTGGTAGAGCGTTTTGCCATAATTACTACTTATGTACTATGTGAATGTTTTCAAAGAAATTTTTTACACTACACCTATGAATAAACATTACGCGGTATGTGGGAATACATAAAATCTCTTTAAATTAATAATAAGTTACATTGTTCGCTGATAATAATAATACGCACGTTAATGTAAGTATATTCTGTTATATAACAATTCCGATTTTCTCGTCTAATGAAGATTAAAAGTGAAAAGTCCATTTCTACGATATATTATCCGTTAAGATAATAATATAATATGAAACTTTATATTTCAAAACAATGTTCCTAATGGATCTACAAATTGCCTATATAAAACCCCTTGAAAATCGTTATATTGAGAATAATAATATTATTATCCTTTCGAATATTATATTTTATTGCGGTCGATCGGGGTTGACGCGAGATCTATAACAATAAACCGAACACTCGTCATGAATATCAGTTAGTTTCGAACGTGGCATTTACGATTTAATAAGTTCGATGAATAAGTCGAGACGTACTACTGCTCTTAAAAAAAATTTAAACCCAGACGTGGTCAGTGGTAATATCTGGTTAAGCACCAGTGGTATCGACTGGTCGTAGGGTGGATAAACCATTAAATACGTAATACCATCGTAACGACTTAATTAACTGCGTTAATGTCGTGCACACTAACCTGTGGGTGTGGTGTTTTAGCTTCGTCATTATACGCACATTACGCATATCAACAATTTTGTGATATATTATGCTACGTGTAAGCAGAACTCGTGTGTTATATATTTTAATACACGTGTGGTAATAATATTAGTGTGTCGTCATTCCCGTCAAAATCTGGTCGATTAGACTACGCGACGAGCATCCGTTCGTGTAATATTAATAAGTAATTGACCATCCACGAGCTGTTTGATTGGACACGCGTGTCACGTACCACCATGGCGGTGGTTACCCAAACGACAACGGCAAAGGATATCCATCGGGCAAACACTTTTCGTTCGTCTGTATCATAATGTTATTATTATTATTATTTTCCCGGTGGTCCGACACTGCACGGCTATAATATAGGAATGACGATAATCGTTTAATATTAATTTACCTTTATTAATATCGTCAAAAAAAGTGGATTAACCTGCTGCTGGCAGCCTCGGTTGACGTCGTTTTCACCGTGCGAATAAAATGATATTATGTGAACGAACGCGGGCCCGGATTGAGAGGGACGGCGGCCTTTAAAAAAAAATTAACCTTACCGAAACACGTCATTATTGTATCACTATGTGTCTGTTATTGAAAATATTTATTCAAAATTAAGAAAAAAAGTAAGTATAGTTAAATGAAAATAATAAGCATACATTCACTTCTTATTCTTATTCAGTAGGTAAATAAGTACTAAGTACATTTAGGTTAATATTGGTTGGTAACATCATGTGTTTGATAATCGATAGTTAACTCTAAACGACATCGACCATGACAGACCGCCGATTAGCTTCTATCAAAACTACCCTAGATGATATTATCTGTGTAAGTAATATCATATCATCAGTATCTATATATTTACTGTAGACAAATATAACATAACGTACTTGAAAAGAACCTATAGTTAATTAGTTATTAATTATTATATTTTACATATTATTAATAATAATAATAATTTATTATACATTTATATTTTTGTAATAATATTGTACAGTTTGTAAATTTATAAATAAAAAAATAAAATAACTATCGTGATTAACTATCGACTAATACTGACTTTCAAGCAGCTTCTCTTAGAGGAATCAAAGTGATATTATCGATCTGTTTGTATTAGCATATTATAATAATCGATATGAGTGTATGGCTGTAAAACTGTATCTATATCTGTATAAGAGATAAATAACATAAGATAACTTCCTAAGAAATAATCAAGAATTATCATAAGTATTTTCATATTATAAATTATAAATATAAAAAACTGAAATAAAT